CTTCACTCTCCATGGTGTCGGCCAGAAGTGACCAAGCGTCACGCTCGTCCGCCCTCGCTCGAGCCAGCTCTTCCGGGAAAACCTTGGCGCCGATCTCTTCAAGTACCTCTCTTCGGGATCTGCAACGAACATATTCCTCGATCCCCTCTTCACGATCGAGGGCCCTCTTCAACTCAGCATGAGCATCAGTAGCATCCTTCAAATGAATCGCCATCTCCTGGTCAGCCTTAGTCCAGGTTAATGCTGCTTCAGCCTGAGCATCAACGATCTCGACCCTGACCTTCGAAAGTTCGGACTCGAGCTTCGCGATCATATCCGCTTGAACTAAAGCGTTATCACGAGACAAGTGGAGTTGGGTCTCGAAGGCAGGAACTTTAGCCAGGCACCCTTCTCATCTGAAGCTTGAGCCTGAACCTAAGCTCTCAGCTCGCCACAGTCATTCCTGACTCGGACGACTTCACCCCTAAGGTGCTTCGGAGCCTCCGTCTTTTTCTGCAACTGAGATAGGCAAAAAGTTAGCCTAAAAGGTTAAAAAGTGAAACGCATACCATGAGAAGTTACCTGCTCCATCAAATAGCTCTCGTAATTCGAGCCCCGGTACGCCTCATATCGCCAGTGCGTCAACTCAACTTCCTTCTCCTCGTAGAAGAGCATAAGGGACCTACCTTGATCCAGAGCTTTCCGAAGCCTAGCCCCATGACGGAGTAGCTCAGACCGAAGCCTGTCAAAGGCCTGCAGAAGAAAAACTCGATAAGGAAGGGAAGACGCGAGACGCGGAAGGCCTATGCCAAAACTCACCGCGAAGTGAAGCCGACGGACTTCCTCGAAGGCTGAGCACACTTCTGTTGGTCCAGCCCCCTCGGCCCTGGAAGAACCAACCTCGATCGAAGCATGATCACTCGGAGGAATCACCGCTCCGGAACCGGAAACTTCAGGAATAGTAGGCTCGGGCGACGTTTTCTCCTCGAAGACTCGGACCCGTTTAGCCCTATCAAAAGCTTCATCGCACCACGAGTGCATATCCCGTTTATCACCACCGACCTTTGGCTCGGAAGCTAACAACTCCTCCCCCTCTCCGGAGGAGCATAGCCTCACCCCTGGGGACCTTCCGACACCTACGACGGTAAGGTCAATACATAAAAAGAGGAAAATGTCATCTCAAATATATGAAGGCCAAGGTAAAAGCAGCATACGCACATACCTTGGTATTTCGCTTCCCATCTGCACCGGGACATAGCTCGCCACCTACGCTCGTCGCAAGTCGGATGGGTCACCAACCTCCGAACCCAGCCGGACAGATCGGGAACTTCGCCCGGTGCCCCTAAAGTTGCTGGAGAAAAGGAGGAACCACAATTACTAAATTGGCTTTCGCCACGAGCGAATCTGAGAAAGCACGAGACACTCCACTCACTCATGTAAATTCCATTCCTCAGGAAATGGCATAAGTTTGACGGGTATAACGTTAGTCGTCCGGACCAGGACGAATCGACTGACCCACTCTCGATCCCCATCTTCCTCATCATCAACAACAAAGGGCGTGGACGAACGACACCACAAGGTTAGCAGACCTCGATGATGAAAGGGCCGGTACAGCTTGACGAGGTAACTAAGCGTGAATTCATGCCCAGCCTTCTCCGCAAAGAATATCATCATCAGCACTACTCACCAAAATGACGGATGTATATGCGCCAAAATAACACGATACTTCAAGCAGAAATCGAGCACGACCCTATCAAGGGGTCCTAGTGCGAAAGGATACAAGTACACGTTCAGGAATCCATCGGTGGGGTCCGTAATGCCCTCATCCGAGGAAAGCGCCTGCAACGCTACCCCCTCGCCCCATCCGCAGTCTCTCCTCACTATCTCCAGATGGTCCTCTCTTATCGAAGATATGGTCTTAAGAGTAAACTCCCGTGGATCCTGAGCACTGGGAGTGGAACTCTCCCCTCTTAACCGGGCAGGCCCCGAAGTGACAGTCATGACTATGGTAGAACTAGCAGACAGAAGCAAGAACCTACACAAACACTTTTATGCTCAAGGTAACGAAGAAGTCGACGCCAAGGCGGAAGGATAGCTATCTAAAATAATGGGATCTTCCTAGAAGCGGGAGACACCCCATATATATGTGGGAACAACAGCAATTCGCCTACCCAGGATAGGCCCTGGGAGGCCAACGACTTCGGTATGGATCCCGAGGTGGTACCCGACCCCAAGGATCTCCGTCAAAAGGAAGTTAGGCCCCGAAAGGTCAGCGACATCATCTCCAGTCCCGATAAGGTATACGGCCTCGAAGGCTCCTCCCAAGAAGAAAAGTAAGCACTTCAAGCTCCGTCCATGAGGGTTCGACCTCAGGACACCACCTGGCCATGGGCAACCTCTCCACAGGAACCCATCTACAACGCCTTAAAAGGTTATCTACATCAAGCTCAAAATAAAATCTCCTAGTGCCCGAAGTTGACTTTCACTTCGGTGCTCTATCTCCATGAGGCTCGAGGGTCCCGATAATCCGAGTTTACCGGACCGCTTCAGGCTTGACCCGGGGAACAACGATAAGCTCGGAAGGGAGCCATTTCTGTCAACCAAAGACCGGAAAAAATATTGGTGATCGTCTAAAGAGGCATACATTCAAAATTCCCGCAAACACACAAGAATATGCCGAATATCAAAAACTGAAGTAAAGAAAATATCCCGGTTATCGTAAAAACTTGGCGTCATAGGTTGCATCATCGGTATGACATCGTCACGGGAAGCCCGAGGAGTCGGGTATCAGAATCATTTTCCATCGCTTCGTTCTGAGAAACGCGGAGACTATCTGTATGCGGCGAAATCAGAGGGCCTAATTTCTTGCTATCGAGTCACTTCAGAAGAACACCTCGAGACCCCGAGGATGCGAAGCTGTGACTGAGTTCCTTCCTTCGGAGCTCGTCGAGACCCGATTTAAAGAGGATGTAGATCGAGGCTAGAGCAAAATGGGGAATTCCCAAGGCATACGGCTAAGTCTGACAAAGCCGGCCTACCCGAAGCCTATATCAAGGCATCGCGTCTAGTCGTCCCATCTCCGTATCTTTACAATTAATGCATTTTGTACTATGTTGTATTTCCCCTTCTATATAAAGGGGATCCTTACCATTTTGTAAAGGGTTTTTGTTGCTCCAACCATTCTACATAAGATCAATAACAACTCTTTCTCTCCTTTCTCTAACTTGCTCGCTCGAGGCTGCCTCTTTCATTTATTGCTTTCATACTTGTTCCTCATTTATTGCTTGATATTGGCCATAAAGAGCCTCATTTAATTATATTCTAACTGCTATTCCCTTCCCGGTTACCCCCGATAGCTCGAGCTCGAGCCCAGGGATCGACCTCGAGGCCCCTCACCGGCCAGTTCGAGGCCAGAGTAACTGATCTCTCGGTTTGATTATAACTCCGTTTTAGCTCGCATTTCATCTCTTATCTTCATATGCCTAGCATCAACTGCACTAACAACTAGCATAAAAATAAATCACGTATTTCTAGAGTCCCATTAACAAATTTAATTGTCATTATCATTTTCACGGTAAAGAGTTTTTGAAATTAATATTTTTTTACTTAATTTTTAAACATCAAAAAATAATTAAGTAGTAGAACACTTATTTTTCAAGAAAGCATTTTTATAGAAATCTTTTTCTTTGTACTAAACACAATCTAAAGTAAATGAACAATAGCATAACGTGCAAAATGCAGAAAATCATTTCTAACGATCTCTATGTCTTCGTTTTACCCCTTCATGTTAAAGACTTACAAATGATGCATATTTAAAAAAGTGTTCATTTTCTTTTGGCAAAAATATTTCTTACTAAATGGGCAAAATATGCTTTTCCCTTATTTGTTGTACACGGACCTCTGTTCTTTCAATTGTTGTAAGGTCCTCAACATCCCCTTTTGGAAGTACAATTGTTATTGCACAATTTTGTGAAGTCAAAATACATCACTGTGAAGATTTAAACAGGGCAGCCCGATCACTGTGAAGATTTATTCCACGAAAATCAACAACGAGATGTCAGAGGGATTGCGTAATTTTTATTAACAACTATGCATATCGACACAAAGAAAAAATGTAATGTTTCACAATAAGGGCAGAAGACTTAAATTAGGTGTCATCAGTAGCGTAGCAAGTATTTTTATTAAGGAATATTAAAATTTTTAGAAGTAAATACATAAATAAATCAAGAAGATTCGATATATAGTAGTAAGTAATATTTACCTATCTAAACAATATGATTTTACGGTTTGGGTGTCAATTGATTTTACATAGTATATATACATAAAAAGTAATATTGAATAGAAAAGATTGTGAACTTACATATAAAGCGTAGGAATACTCTTAATGGTGCGAAACCTTTTTGAATAAAACTGTGCGAGCCAACTTGGCCCAATAAGCGCATAGTATGATGTCATGTTAAGAGTGTCTTTGAACCGAGTCTAACAACTGGTATTAAAGCGAATGATTCGAGGGGACGAGTATGAAATGGCGGAGTGATTTCATGAAGCTCTTTACTACTTTTACCATGCCAAGGTAGCCCGGAGACACACGTGCACAAGAAGAAGCTAGCTCTAAGTTTTGGTGACCATAAATGCTCGATCATGTGGGTGGCAGAGTAAATCTCGGAAATTAACCCGTGGGGCCACATGAAACTTAGTTCGAAGGGGCGACTCGTGGATCAAGGTGATAGCCACCTGAAACTTAGTACGGGGCAGTATCACGCTTGCGTTTACTAATTTAAGAGCTAATTTAGCAGCTCTGGGTGATGGTAACTTACAAGATAGTAAGATTAACGGCTGTTAATTTTCATTTAGCTAGAAGTTTAAGTAATTGAAAGATCATTTGACAATCCAAGAATTCTTGATTTTTGGAAATAATCTAAGAATGAAAATATAGATCAATATGCTGTATCTCTAAAGCATAATATGTGAAGAATGCTTGAAATCTTAGATTTCTGATTTTTGGAAATAAATGAAAACAGGAGGATATCAAGCTCATGGAAGATATGGGAGTGGATAGCTTTCGTTTCTCTATTTCATGGGCAAGAATTCTGCCTAGTAAGTTACAACTATCACATCTCTTGTCTATATGACATATTTCAGGATTTAAACTCCTTAATTATTGACCTTAAGCGCGATTTCTACTTATTAATAACCCTTTTTTTTTTGTCCAATAACTGAATCAGATGGGATGTATGGAGATATCAATATAGCTGGAATTCAGCATTACAGTAAGCTGATTAATGCACTCATACAGAAAGGTTATTTCTGCTTATCTCATTCATTTAGTGACCTTTTGTTATGTTCACACTTCATATTTTGATCACAAAAATGGCAGTCTGACGCGCAAAGCATCCCGTATTCACGTAGGGTCAGGATAAGGGATGCACCCCAAGGGGTATGATGTAGGCAGTCTACCCTAATGCAAGCGTCAATGGCTGATTCCACGGCTCAAACCCGTGACCTATAAGTCGCACGAAGACAACTTTATAAATATTTGATTCTCAAAAAGGACAGCCCGGCGCATGAAGCGTCATGCATGAAGCGTAGGGTCCGGGGAAGGGCCGCAGCCAAAGGGGCATGATGTAGGCAGCTTACCCTGATGCAAGTATCAGTGGCTGATTTCACGGCTTGAACCCGTGACCTATAGGTCGCACTAAGACAACTTTACACATATTTTGATTCAATAAAAGGGCAGCTCGGTGCACAAAGCATCCGATCACGTAGGATCCAGTGAAGGACTGCACCCCAAGGGGTGTGATGTAGGCAGTCTACCCTATGCAAGCAGCAGTGGCTGATTCCATGGCTGGAACCCGTGACCCATAGGTTGCACGAGAACAACTTTACACATATTTTGATCACAATAATCTAAAATATATGCAAAATGTAACCATCTGTAGGCTTAGACAAGTTCTTTTATTTGCTATGATTTCAGGTATCGAACCATTTGTCACGTTAACACATTATGATATACCTCAAGAACTTGAAGACAGATATGGAGGTTGGCTAAGTCCGAAAATACAGTAAGTATTTTCGCCTCTTATATACTTCGTGAAAAGGTAACTATATATATATTATCAATGACCTATTCTGCCGAACAATTATGCTCTCTATCTTCACGAGGTAGGGGTAAGGTCTGCGTACACACAACCATCCCAGACCCCACTGTGTGGGATTACACTGGGTATGCTGTTGTGGTTGTTGCTATTCTGCTGAACAAATCTGTTCTGTTTCCAGGAGTGATTTCAGCTATTATGCAGACATATGTTTTAAATATTTTGGAGACAGAGTTAAATACTGGGTGACTATGAATGAGCCAAATGTGATGGCCGTTCGCGGCTACAGATTGGGGACTTTCCCTCCAGCTCGATGCTCTCGTTCATTTGGTAATTGCAGCGCTGGGAATTCGGAAAAGGAGCCGTTCATTGCTGCCCACAATATGATCCTATCCCACGCCGCGGCTGCCAGCATTTACAGAACCAAATATCAGGTTCTTTCAACTGTCATGTTACTCTTGAGCATGTTAGTTGATAAGGGATGGAATTTAAGTGGATAAATGATGTTATTAAGTGGAGATTAGACGCGGCGGGGGGTTGGAAAGTTGGAAAGTTGTGGAGATTAGAAGACAAAATGTGACAATTTATACTTTGGCCATTCCGGCTACTTTCTGCATCTATACTTTGGACAATTTTTTGGCCATTCTATTCTTTTACACAGTCAAAGAATAGAATTTTAAGTTCTTTACTAAGTTCACCGTTTTATTTTGTTTTACTTCTGAGTTTTTGCCGTGAAAACAGCTTCTTGCAGAAATGCAGGACAAGACTGCATACAGTAGACTTTTGTGGTTCAGCCCTTCTCTGAACCCCGCGCATAGCGAGAGCTTAGTGCACCGGGCTACCCCTTACTTATGAGTCTTTTATTTCAATCACCCCTTAGACAAATTGGTCTGAAGTATTAATATAACAAAACCAGTAATTTTAGTTTGTTCTTTGCTGACATGTAGGAAAGACAAGGAGGTATGATTGGAATTTCTTTAAATACTCAATGGTATGAACCTTTTAGCAATTCATCAGAAGACAAATATGCAGCTCAGAGAGCTCGATCTTTCGTTTACAACTGGTAAGACTTCTTAATCAGTGCATATATTCTATGTTGCATGGACTCTTCAAAATGCTGCCGCACTCGTGTTGGACCCTCAAAAAATACACTACTTTTGGAGGATTCGACACGCACCTGACTACATTTTCGGAGAGTCCGAGCAACATAGCTTATATTACAAGAAACAGAAGTGAATGAAAACAAGAAAAAGGAATGTTTTGATTAATTGGTATGCAGGTTTTTAGACCCTATTATATTTGGAAGATATCCTGAAGAAATGCAACAAATTCTTGGAAATAACCTGCCTGTTTTTTCAAGCAATGATTTGAAAAAACTGAATAATGGCCTGGATTTCATTGGCATCAATCATTACACTGCTGCTTATATAAAAGATTGCTTGTACTCCGCCTGTGAACACGGAACCTCTTGGTCGGAGGGTTCCTATTTTCGTACTACAGAAAAAGATGGTGTGTACATTGGACAACCTGTAAGTATTCTGATCAGTACTATGCCATTCTGCAGAAAATGAGGAAGCTCTTTTGACACTGCAATAGCAATTGATTCTTTACCTTGTAAATGATTCAGACTACAATGGACTGGCTTTTTGTTTACCCTCAAGGGATGGAAAAGCTTGTGATGTACATGAAGGACAGATTCAATAACACTCCAATCATTATCACTGAAAATGGTAACGGAAAAGACGAAAAGTTACAAAAATAACAGTGTCGTTAATTAAGTATTCCTTCCGTCCCAATTTATGTGGCACCATTTGACTTGGTACTGGAGTTTAAGAAAGAACGACGACTTTTAAAACTTGTGGTCAAAACAAGTCTTTAACATTTGTATGGCTATAAATTCTCATTAAGGGGTCGTTTGGTATGAGGTATAAGAAGGTATAAGGATGGTATAAAAATTTAATACTACCTTAATACTCTGTTTGGTTAGCAAACCAGGTATAAGTTATCCCGGTGTTAAAATTAACACCGGGATAACTTATATCTTATAGAAGGTGGGGTAATTAGCACCGGTATAACTTATACCTTCTTCTTAGAAATTATGTCATTGTCATTCTTAATACAACATACCAAACAATGAATAAACAACAATTCCAGCATAACTTATACCGGTATAAATCGTATTCCAACCAAACGGCCCCTAAGAGTAAAACAGAAATTTTGAAGTTAAATTATTTCTAAATATAGAAAGTGACATTCTTTTTGGGACATACAAAAAAAGAAAAGTGTACGACATAAATTAGGACAGCGGGAGTAATAAGTTTATCAAATGCTAGTTTATCTCTTTGGAGGCAACTCCTTATGTAATGGAAATTTTGCAGGCATTGCTGAGAGTGACAATCCAAATTCTTCTCTAGCTGATTCTCTCAACGACACTCCAAGAGTTGAATATATGCATAGCCACTTGAATTCTTTAGCAAATGCAATAAGGTATATCTCTTCCTCTCTCGAACACATACTAATTCCAGGGGCAGATCTAGCCCTTTGGTACCGGGTTCAACTGAACCCAGTACTTTCAGTGCGGAGTATAAATTTATGTGAAAAATTATTAAAATTACAACATATAGTAAATATGAACTCATAACTTTAAAAATATAATTTGTTTGAACCCATAAAATTTAAATTATGTATCCGCCTCCGACTAATTCCACATATTGATCGTGTAAAAAGATGTTTATACTGTAAGTATATATAAGTTAAATCCTTAACATATATATGATCAGGGAAGGTGCAGATGTGAGGGGCTACTTCGCTTGGTCATTGCTCGACAACTTTGAATGGTTAGAAGGGTATACAAAAAGATTTGGATTGCATTATGTCAATTTTACCAATCTCGAGAGAACTCCAAAATTATCAGCCACTCGGTGTAAGGAGCTCATGTCTAATTTTCAAGGACAGATAGCAAGATATACAGCATAAAGAACACTAGAGTGAAACAAAGCATTCTATTCTGCACTCAAAATATAATTATTCAGGCTTATCTCTTTCTTTATATTCCAAAAAATAGAGGTGTATAATTATATAAATAAAACTGTATTTTAGAGCTTAGTTTAACAGTTGTTTCAATTACTACCTTTTACATACAGAGATTTGACCACTCATTATATCGCTTCAGATTGAGTGATTGACTCTCCTCAAAATTTGGAGAATTGGTAGAGAGCACCTAAGCTCTCTACGATGGTGTCCTAGACAGCTTGCGTGCACCTCATCTGCTGCCTCTCCAGCTAAGCTGAAAATTAGTTTTGATGATTAACAAACGATTGTCTAAGAACTAGGTCTCTAAAAGATATTTGCCGAACTAACATACAGGATTACAAATATAACTGGTAGATAATAAAAGAATCAGGTTCTCTTTCAGGTTCCTAGAGTGCGTTGATCAGGAGCTGAGATTATGATTTTCTAATGCAAGCACAATTCCACCAAGGTGTTGCTACTTAGGCTGCAATCGTGTTACTTACTGAAGGAATCCGTGTACAACAAGGCGTCATAACTTTTTCATATGCCTTTCTAAATATTTTGAAATGTTAATTATTGTGACTAATAGTAATTTTTATATAGTTTTCAAAAATATAAATTTTATTTAAAAAAATTAAAGATTCTATGTCCGAATTTATTGTTAAAATTAAGAAGTTTAATTCTCGAATTCAAAAAGTATCATCCTTTTTGGAAAGAAGGGAGTATTATTTTGTGAAGAGAATTAGTGTTTTGGAAAATACTCTTTCTGAGACTATTTTCTTTAAATATGGTTTTAACTATAATTTGTACTTTCTGTTCTTCATTGTAGACAAAGGTCAAATATAATGAATCATATAAATGTTACGGTCTTATTAACATTTTATTATTAGGTAATTTGCTCGCGCTTCATGTGATTATGAATGACCTCATTAAGCTTATAAATGAACCTTTGCTAATATCTGAATAATAAGTTTTCAAGATCTCTTTCTTTACGATGATGAGGAAGGTTAAGAATCACTCCATAACAAGTTATAAGATTTGGCACCCTAATCTTCCTTTCAAGATCTCTTTTTTTATGATGAGACTAGTTCCTGGACATGTGCGTTGCACACGTATCTCAATAATTTTTTTCTTAAAAAATAGTATAAATAGATAATATTAAAACATATGTGATAAGTTGCACAAAATTTAAAAGAGAAAAATACAAGCTCAAACTTGATTATTGATGGCAAATTAATAAGATAGTATATAAACTGCAAAGTTGAACAACTAAATGCAGCTAGGTATAATGCATACATAACAAAATATGTAGCACTTTGACTTATCTAGCAATATAGCACACTTAGGTAGTCTAAACGAATAAAGTGCCTTATGGAGATACAAATACAAAGTTTTTGGAGACTTATTTTTGCTTTGTATATGTAAGACGTCAATATACAAGACCAAAGGAATATGGAACACCTAATCTAATCTATATATTATAGAAAAATAATTATTTTAGTGGGGTTCAATTCCAAATGAAAATCACTGTTTAGAGGAAAACTCAGCAGAATAATAGCGGCATAAAATGCCAAAAGATTGTCTCCAATTAAACTGCACCTTCAATAATTCTATGAAAGCCATAAAATAAAGAAGAATTAACAAGGAGAAGGAAAGAATTCTAATAAGAGGAAGAGGAATACCTATTTAAGTAGCAAAAATCAATAACATATATTTGACAATAGCATATTTATTACCACCAGTACATGATTTACGTTCATCATCGTTAGTGTTGAAGTTTTAGCTTTTGAATATTAAACCAATATTGTGTAATAAAATAGAGGACAAAAAAATCTCAGCATCTACGAAGAAGAAAAAAGTGGACATAACAAAGATAATTCAGTAAATGAAATACTCATTGAAAAATGGAATTGGAATGCATAGATATTTGAGTAATTACATAACCAATATAATTAAGAAAATAGTTTGATGACTTTTAAGAGAAATTGATTTACAATAAGATAATGACCAAACACAGTTAAGAGAAAATTTAACTATATATCTTATATTTATGTATATTTATATATCTATATCTATATCTATCTATATCTATATCTATATCTATATCTATATCTATATCTATATCTATATCTATATCTATATCTATCTATATTATTATAAAAGCACGAATGTTGAAACGCTAAATGTTGAACGACAAAAATATCCTTGAAATGTTAATCGACTTTTATACCCTTAAAATTTTAATTCTTTTTGGGAAAAGACAATACCATAGTGGGTAAAATTGTAAAATTTTAGAATTTTGCTTATAATAGAACTCTAAAATCAACCAAGATTTTAGAAAATCACCGCCACTAGCCCACTACATAAAGGAAGTATACCTTATTTGTAATGGGAATTCTAATTCAGTTAAGCCTTAAAACTCTATGTCATTTATGTAAGGAAAACTAATTGTTAAGAAATTATTTGTAAGAGACGTGCATATTTTTTTATTTAACTTTAAGAATTGTCATCAATTGTTCAACATATTTTAGTTGTGATTGCAGGCCGGAGGTGGTTATGTTGCTTTGCGATACAACACTTGAGTTCTTGCTCATTTGATAAATTTCTTGTATGTGCTTTATGTTTAAATATCTTAATATATTAGAGAATTTATGATGAGAATTAGGGTTAATAATAATTGTTTTATTCTTTTAAATTATTGTTGAGATGGGTAGAGAAATTTACTTTTTTTTTTCACCATAAATGAATTTTTTCGCTTTGCATATGTAATTTTTTAAATTGAGTTTCTTCTTTAAAAATTAAAATTAACCAATTCCGTTAAGACTCGGCTAGCTACAATGACAGAATCCTAAAACCAAGGCCTTCCCAATTACAAATATGAATTTGGACAATGTCGTACGTGCACAAGCAATAATTACATGATAGGTCACAATTAGTTTTCTAATATTCGGACATTTTAGAATTAATAATCTATTTAAAAATTACTTACTTTTTATATAAGTATAATTTCACATACCTCCCTCCAAATTTGGCTTGTAACACTAATCCTCCATGCAATTCATAATACAAAGTTTGCTCCCTTGTTTTGATTTCTCAACTTAATAATTATTTTAAACTACTTATTGTTACTGCAACATGATATACGACCATTAATATTTGAAATCTACATGATTTGGCTAAAGACACTTACCATTTTTATTCTAAGGCTAGAGTCTTTCTAGAAAGAGCTCAAAACTCAAATATTCATTCTTTAAACATGTATATACAAGATGAGAAGAAAAACATGCAACTACTCAATATATAAAAGAGATAAAATTTACTAACATTCTTATGTACATTGGCTCTAAATATGTATGTACACAGATGAGAAAAGATAACATGCAACTACTCAATATATAAAATTTGCCAACATACATATTTTTTATGAAAGACAATAAAAATATGATGAAACAAAAAGAATAACTTAATAATCGAATTTAAAGGATAAAGTTACATTGTCTTTCTAAAATGGTTGCTTAATTGACATATTTTGAGACGTGCCGTAATAACTGTTTATTTGTTTAAAATTGGATGGATTTCATTTTAATATAAAGTTGGAGGAAGAAGTATTTTTTACCTTACCTTTTAATAGTTAACGAGATATACGTGCAACGCACGTACCTAGAAGTTAGTACTATATTAAAACCACGAAGGCCCTTAGCGAAATATCGTTCGCTTTTTTTACCCTCTAAAGATCGAGTTCATATTAGACAAAATTGTCATTTAATTATTTCCCTAAAATTTTGAACTTTGAAATCAACTAAAAATTTATTTATTAAATACTAACTTATTTTAACTATGTACAAGATCCTAAATATTAGGACTCTTCTTAAATCCTTCTAAGTTTCCAAGTTCTTCTTTTTAACCAAGTTAGGAACCGTCAGGCAATTTTTTTCTAAGTCTTTGACCTTTTTGTTTTGATAAAAATATTTTAATCATATTTAGTATCAAACATAGATAGTTAAATATAATAAATTTTTAACTTTCTCCAGATCCCCGTCAGACATATTTATTTTTCAAATCTTTACCCTTTTTGTTTTGTTATAAATAATATAAATTATGCTTGCCCTTAAATAGTTAAATACAATAAAATTTTATTTTTGGCCAAATCCAAATTATACATAAGTTTTACATCTTTTTGATCTAATTCTGTTACTTATCGGCTAATTTGGTAACCAAAGAGAAAAACAAGTAAAATAAGTTTTTTTAACAAATTGTTCTTTTGAATTTTGGTTTCTTCTCTCCCCTTTTATTGAAATGTTACTTTAATATTTTGAGAGATTTAATTAGAACCGTCCCAAAATATTCTAATCATATTTGGTATAGCTGGAGCAATTGTACATCTCATTAGAGCATTAAAATCTTTATCTATCTATCTATCTATCTATTTTATACATAGTAAAGCATAAAAGTCCTTAGCGAAATATTATTCATCTATTTTATCCTTTAAAAATAGATTTTATACTAGATAAAATAGTCATTTAATTATTTTTCTTGTTTTAGGACTTTAAAATCAACTAAGATTTTATTATTAAAATTTTTCTTATTCAAAGCCCATTAATATTAGAGTTGTATTGAACTATTCCTATAAGATTTTTTATTATGCAAAATGTGAGTTAGCAAAATTATGTAGGAGTCAAACACACAACGAATTTTGAAAACATAAAGATTCAAAACATATGATTTTTCTTACTATTTGAAAATCGAATTCATATTGGAAAAATTATAATTATTCTCAAATATTTAAAAATTAGAATGAGCAAATATTCAGAATTTGAATTAATAAAATTTAAGTTATTCTTTTAATGTTGAGAACACATAATTAAGTCGTTGAATAACAATTTAGCAAACGAATCAAATTCAATTATTTTAAAATTTTATCATATAAGAAAAATTACCTGTTACATTGACAAAACACTGAAAGTACATAAATTTTATTTTTTTAAGAAGAGTATCGATAGTGAAAGAAATCATAAAATATAGCAAAATTAATTATAGTAAAAAATACATATTCAAATCGGTGAAAAAATAAATTTTAAGAGATAAGGTAAATTGTAGAAGGCAACTAGATTATAAATGAGTTGTCATTTG